TCACCATGCATCTGCATCATAAAAAGACAAACGGGTACAACAACTAATTGATAATCAATTTATCACTGGACTAGATTCCGAAATCATTTTTCACATAAGAGAGTAATACCCTGTATTTGGAAGGAAAATACCGATTTATCATTGAATAAATAGTTAAAAGGATTCACCTTTTAATACAATACCTATATTACATTTGTCCTCAGTTAAAAAGACATTTATACAATATATAACTTTAGTGTTAATAAAATGTAATATCCTAGTCTCTACTTATTGATAGGTATTTTAAAGATTTGAGATTATATATCTTTTTGTTCCAAGTAAGTATTCGTTAAATATGTATTATTATTTGTATTTATTTTTATCTAATAATATTTATTTGTTATTAATAAACATATTTTAAGAATGTTCTATTTTATTATTTATTGATATATCTTATATTTATTTAATAATAATATGCAGAACCAACTCTCCACATCAGACCCCTTATAACAAATTAATTCCTCAGATTTGGTATAATCGACCTAAATTATTTTGTAAAATAAAAGTTTCGAACTTACTAGTTCCATACTTTATTTTATAAAATAATTTATGTGGAAATCATTTAAAATTTAATTTAAAACTACTACCTACTCCTAAAAATGACAATTTGAATTTACCGCCATCTGTCAATTGTCATTTTAGTTCCAGCTCCAAACACAAGGTGGCGCTAATTTGGTTTAAAAGTTTAACATTGGCGTGGGGCCTCTAGAAGATATGTGCTTTGTGGATACGTGTTCTGTACCCAACTATAAGCGCTATGCATTGAACAACACATTTTGTCAATTTTTTTTACCTACAAAATACAAACGAAGTTTCAAAAACAGAAAACTACGTAAATGGATACAATGTCTCTTATACGTGGGCGCAGCCAGTGGGGCGGGGGATGGAATAGCTGCCCCCCTACTTATTCGCCGCCAGCTGTAATAGTTATTTATGTATCAAGGGCGTAAAACAGGCGTCTATGGACCGCAACATGTAAGTAAGAGCCCGAGCTGCTAGGCGAGGGCTATTAACCGAAAAACTTACAAAATTTTATGCACGACCCTTTTAATGATAATTTATTAACAAATATATAAAATTTTATGTTTTAATTATCGTTTATTAATAAATAGCTATTGTTTTACTAACTAGATGTTTATTTTTAAAAGAAATAAAAAAATAATTTTTTTCTGTGACTATTTAACAATATTAGTATTATACATCCACTTTCTATTGATAATTGTAAGAAGTGGTTACTCATACAGTGAGTTTTTTTGTTTCATTACTCACTTATTTCTTTTATTGCTCAATTATTTTTAACCATTAATTATTTTCAACAATATTCGATCACAACTACAACCTACACGGAAAACCAGATGAATCGTAGAAATATAACTACCTACTATTTTTGATTTGAATTCAAGAGCTTCTGTTAATTTTCAAAACTATTCTAATTTCACAATTAATTTTGGAACAAATAAATGAAATAAAATATTGCATAACTCTTTTCTATTATTTAATTTATTAATCATAGCAAAAGTATAGTATTCTATAAGTAATGGCTATTACTTAGTCGGATGGTTACACTAGTTGTCTGCGGCTCGTAGGGCAAACTTCATCTTCGAGAGTGATAGCCATCATTACCCGCTGGTTGAATATTATACTATTACTTTATCGCCCGGCGGGCGGTAAAGTAGTTCGCGGGCGATAAAGGGTCACTTCACGCCCGCCAAACATATTTATAATCTGGATATGATCGCCCGATTGTGCATAAAATATTTTAAAGTCACATCTCATATGTCATTCCCAATAAATTTTCTAACCTATCAATAATTTCTTTTGAAACAGTGTATTTGTATTTAGACAAAACAGACCAGGAAGAAGGATGATTAGATTCGATAAAATATTAGTACTTCTACCCTTATTTCATTTGTATGTAGTAGAAAAATTTTGCTCATTTGATTTGCTGTCACTTTTGCCACGAAATTAGGGCTTAATATTACAGATATTGAAAATGTTACAGGAACTATACTCTGTTTTTAAACTAGAGGAGCGAATTGAAAAGACGCATTTACACAGGGAAAAGTAACTAGATTTGTTACTAACGCCCGTATGCACCGTACACGTTTAATCCAGATCAAGGGTTTAATCGCGTTTAGTACCATTTTTAGCTATGGCACTAAACGCGATTAAATCTGGATTAAACGTGTACGGTGCATACGGGCGTTAGAGCGAGTTTCGAAATATAGTCGTGTTCAAAATTTATGAAATAATTATCTTTGTCGGCCTTAGTCGGTGAACGGCCAATGAGCGGTTAAGAAACGAATAAATGTCATAGAAGTAATTTTTTAATTGGTCCCAGACAACGGTCGCAAATTTCACATTATTGTGATCAGAAATGTGTGTCTAAAACCAAATGTCACTGTCAAATTAAAGTCAATATGGTTGTTGATTGATGTCAGAAATACTTTTTTCTTGCTTTTGAAATCGACTTTTTGAGAATAACTATGATCTTTTTAAAATGGATATTAAATATTTAAGAAAATTGTTAATGGAATATCCAGATGTAGCCGGTTAGTATAAAATATAAAGATCTGTTTACATTTTTAAGGATATATTTGTTATAGGTATAAAAAGTAAAAGTTAATCAGTGAATGACAAGTGGATCACACAGTAACTGGTATCTCTTCTATGAGTAATGTGAATATTATGGCTTATTTAGTGTTAACCCATGGTTAATGCGCTAGAGGGCAAATAAAGGCATTCAAAACTTTACAGGCCTATGAGTCAGAATTTGTTTTGAAAACTGGAACTAACATTTTCATAACACTACATGTCAACATAAATTTTTTAAAGTGAACTATTCATACATACCTATGTATTAATTTTAAGTATTTTTAAAATATTTTTTGTGAAAGTAATGTTAACTCATTGTGCCAAATTAAGATTATCCCTAAAGTAGTAGATGATGTTTTAAATGTTATAACAATTTTATAAATAGTTTTGTTCTATTCTAATAAATAAAATTTGCTTGAATAGTTACATTTTAATCATTTTGGTTAGAAATTCATCAATTTTTAGTCTTAAAAAATCAGTAATAAAATTATTTTTTTCTAAAATACTTCGGAATTTATCTCTTCATGGTAATCTCCCATCTTTTTACCTTCAAAAACCAATAATGCATTTACTACAAAACCTTCAGAATCAGCATGTAAAATAATGTGTCTTCCCTTTCTTGTAAGGCTTTTCAGGAATTGCTACCTTTAATAGTACTCAGTGTAGAAGGATCCATAATTGTAGATTTTCAATACAATTGCTTGCTGAAGAACTATTATTTACGAAATAAAGTAAAAAACTAAGTAATGGATGAGATATCAAATCATAAAATGTCAGAACTGTCAACAATATCAATTATTAGCTGAGTTCATGGTAAAAAGTAATGTGTGAAACTGACTGTAATCTGACCAATCAGAAGGCTACAGAATTGCCAACTTAAATTCAAATCGCTCCGTAATTAGGCATTCCAACGACCTGTCCAAATGGCTACCAGTGGGTACTGACAGTTTAGATATGGCAACCCTGTTGTCATGTTGTCATTAACAGGGTCAATGATGCATATATGTTATATACATTGCTCAAAGCTGGTCGTTTGCGAGCAGCCATATTGCCTGGCAAATATTTATTAATTTGAATCAGTTTAGCAAAAATGTGTTTTAAAACCAATTTTCAGACTTTAGATATTTAAAAAATAATAATTGCTTATATGTTTACTTCAAGGCATAAGCTTATGTTTATTTTAAAAAATAGGGATGATCAATCTATGTAACTATCTATTTCACTCACCTTGTCAAATCACCAGGCCTACAGAGTTGCCATAACTTTGCCACATCATAACCTGTCAAAACCCACTGGTAGTCATTCAGTTTGGAATGCCTAATACTTAAAAGTTCCAATATCACCCATCGCTAGTGTGTTGGCAGCCATGGTGCGTCAAGTTTTTTTATATTTGTTTTTTAGGTAAATCTACCAAATCCAAGGAATCAAAAGGATCTGATAGGAAGTTGCCGGAGTTGGCAGATTATAGTTTTAGTGTCAGCCCCCGCTCAGCTTCAACGCAACTGAACACTGCAACTATATCCAACCCTATTTCTTCGACAACATCAAGTGAAGGTAATTAGAAATCTACTGAATAATGTTGCATATCTATCTATATGGATAATGCAGTTATTTTTTTTACATGACCTTCTGTACAAAAACAAAAACGAGATGCATCAAGTGATGCATCTACATCTGAAGTAATAAAAACGCCTGAATCTGATACTAATACAACAACACCCAACTATAATAACGAAATAGGCAACTGATTGGAATGAACTGGTATAATAAAATCTGACGAGAAAGTAGAATTGTTAAAAAACTGCTGGGAGCCTCCAAAAAGTTACAACTTTAAGAAAGATGCAGAACATCTGGAGTGAAAGTTCAATCCCGATTGGCTCAATCAGTATTCTCCATGGAAAAAGAAAGCCCACTTGTCGCTAGGCATCGCGCGCAGCAAGAGTCTAGATGTATTTAAATGACCCAAAGCCCATTAACATGGTTCTGTCACGTAGTCGCACGTGGTTATAAAATAGGAACGACATGCCTATCACTCATTACAGACGTTCAGTCGCGTGCGGCACGTCGATAGAGGTGAAGTGTTCCTGTTGGTTGCCATGCCGTTTTACAATTTCAAAACGACCTCCGGTAATGTCAATGTTTTGCTTGAAATGAATTCATGCATATACAATTTAAATTTGTATATCTGATATTCAAGAGCACCCTCAAATATGAAACAGCATATTATAAAGCAAATTAAATGTGCAATTTAACTGGACGTTATAAGTAAAGGATGAATCCAATACTTACGTTTCACTTTTTTCCGATAACAAATATATTAAACAACATCGCTGTTACTCCTTCCAGCTAATTTTGATATTGAATGTATGTATCGCTGTTTTTCGTCTGTTAAAAATCGCAAAATCGGCGTGTCGCATGAGTGGGCTTTCCCTCTAAAGTGTTCTGCAAAACACATGGGTGCATTATGCGTTTACTGTGTGCTGTTTTCACTAAAAACTGCGCATGGTGTTAAAGGGTCATTTACGATAAGTTCATTCAAGTATGGTGGAAGTCATACCAATAGTAAGTGGCATAAAGAAGTTGCCGAAACCACTCGACTGTTTCTTGAAAATACATCTGCTGTTGATCAGCTGGATAAAGCATACAAGAAAGTTGCAGCAGAAAATATAAAAGTTTCAGGTTTGATACTGAATTCAATAATATTTTGTGATCTAGCTCGGAAAGGCATGTGTCTTGATGAGAGGTTATTTAGGGATTTATTTAAACTAAAGATCGATTCAGATGATACATCATTAGAGAGCCATTTGAGTTAATCCTCAAAAAATGCTACATACCTATCTCAAAAAATTCAAAACGAACTGATTGAATTATTATGCGGCGATAAAATGAAGAAAGTTATTTTAGAGGATTTAAGAAAGGCATATGCATATAGTGTTTTGGCTGACAAGAGCTGTAATATCTGAGGCAAAGAACAACTTTCGATCGGAGTACGTTTCTTCGATGAAAAAAGAAAATGAAATACGAGAAGAGTTTTTGGGCTTCGTCGAAATGAAGCAGATGGTCGCTTTGTCGATTGCCTTGATGTTTAAAACTTTTTTTAAAGCTGTAAGGGATGATCTTTATAAAAGCGTAGGTCAAAGAAATGACGGTTGTTCGACAATGGCCGATAAAGGCCTACGCGATTATTTCCTAAAGGAGTTTATTTTCACTGTGCAAGTCACAAACTTATCTAAATAAGGTCCCTGAAGTACGAAACACGATTGCTACAGTCAGAGACATAATTAATTTTTAAGGAAAAGTTTGTAGCTATTATAAAAGGAAATGCAACAAGCAGAAAATAAGCAGATCAGCTGCATGCTGCTTCAACGAGAAGCACTTTCATATTTTGCCTTTGATTGCAAAATACTCTGGTTACTTAGGGCCTGTGGTAAATTCGTAACAGGCTGTTGCAATAGATTTGGTTAAATGTTCACAGCAAATCGAACATATCGTGGAATTAGTAGGTGAACATCGTGAAAAAGGGAAAGAGACAGTGAGATCCATCATGAATGAGATTAAAGCAATTACAATGGAATTGGATGTAGAAATATGTGTATCCCGATTAGTAACAAAAAAATCAGTACCAACACCTGAACAGTACTTGAAAATATCTGTTTTAATACCATACTTAGATTCTTTCTAAAATTCTTTGAAGGAGCGTTCCAACGGGAAGCAGGGACCGGCCTTCAAACTGCAGAATCTTCACCCTACCAAAGTAAGAGTGTAATTTGTAGATATCTTGCAATCTTCCAAAGCAGCAATAGCCGACTATTATAATATTAAAAAATAAGGTTTTCAACCTAATAAAAAACAAAACAGATATTAAAATAACTAAAATATTCATTCATTCATTCAATAATAGTTGTAGTGTTTGAAAACAGTATGATATTGTGATGATAGTTTATTATAGTTTATTTATTTAAAACACACTATTTACAATTTATTTATGACGTACTAACTAATTTATATAATACTTAGGCACTAACTCACAATTCTAGTTTATTTAATATTTATTTTTTCAGTCCAATGCTTTATTCTCAACTACTCGTCCGCAGATAAGTCGCGCTATTTATACCAAGTCCAACTCTGTACGAGAACTTTCTAGACGATGTGGAATGTCCTAGAATTCCATCTCTATGACTCAACGGCACGTACCGCTTGTTATGGTAATTTCGAGACGCAGAGCGTTTGTCTCTATACGTCAGCAATGTTTAGACCGTAAGTCGAGTGGCAGGCTGAAGGTCGCGCTATACAGGGACGGCTTAAGCATTCCCATGATAATATTGATAATATCTACACTTAATACAAAACCAAAAAAAACAGCGATATTGGCGCTTGTTTTGAACCGAACTTACAGAATAAAATTATTAGAAAAAATTGAACACCCATTTTAAATTACCACAAGCCGTCACTAAATATAACAATAATCTTTAGTAGATGACACATGTAAATACAAAAAATAAACAACATATATCATAAAAAAACTTTTAAACAGTGAAAAAATACGAGTGACTACACGACTAACACAAACCACGCTAGTTATGTCAACCGATTAAAAAATAATGGATACATTGAAATTTAAAAAAAATTTAATACATTCAAAGTGATTTTATAAAAATCCTTAAGAGTATGGTCACATATTGGTAGACAAAAACTCCGCTATTTAAAAAATAAGTCTTAATAACTCTGCTCCGCTACAAAGGCTGAATTTAGATACGGTTTGCAATAATAGAACATGCTTGCTCAGTAACATCTTTTAAAAATGTCCGACAGCTTAGCTTGAATCGATAACACAAAATCTAAAAGTTAAGAATGACTTTGGCTATGGTATCTTGCTATCTTGCGTGTGTGAAGGCTGTATATCATTTAGTACTAAATTTAGTTGACGCAACGGTCTTTTCTGTACCATTTTGTTTTTGGTTAGCGACAACTTTACTTATAGCTTTGGATAAATTTCGCTTGTATTTAATTTTATAGGTTTTATTTTTTTTTTTTTTTTCGTGGGTTTTAGTAGCAAACCTGAATTGGGTGGTTTTTAAGTCAACTAGTGTCAAATTCATAATAAAAACACATTATTTTACTTCACTTGTCTATTTTACACAGAATATTTTATTTCTGTGCTTATTCCACGTAATAATACGTCAATGCGCGTGCGCCGGTACTTATGTAGTACTAAAAATTGGTATCGTTGCAAACGAAAAAAGTTTATTTTTTCTACGTTCATGCAAAAAACAAAACTTTATTGAACTATATTTAGTGAAAAAACTGGTTCTTTATTGTACCAGTGCAATAAAAATTTTATTGCACTCATCTGTCATTTTACTACAGCGTTTTATGATCATGACAAACATAAATATTCAAATCAACGCCAAATATTTAGTCCATTTTCATTTTCTGTGTTACGTTTTAAAAACAATTTCATATTTTATATTATTTTCAATCATTTAATAAATAAATTAATAAAAAAATGTATTTTATTAAAAATGTCATTACAAATTATGAACACAAACATAAATAAATGCCTCAAACCAAGGTACACGATCACGGCTACTATGATTTGGATAATACAACTGCAGTTCTATAAAAAAATTTTTAGTTTTTGCATGAACGTAGAAAAAATATTGTATGCAACTCGTGCAAAAAGTGTTTATTGCACTCGACGTGTGATAATTTCACGTCGCGTGCAATAAACACTTACTTTTTGCACTTGTTGCATAAATAACTATTAGTTCTACATTTAGTTCTAAATTAATAACTTAATATAATTTATTATGGTGACATACAGCCTTTAGATACACACATTCATTTAAAATATAAACCATCTTCTAACGTTAATGATCTAATTGCTCTTGCAATTTTTTATATTTATTCTCCCTAATTTTATCTAATATATCTTTTACTTCGACAACAACCAGTAACATGGTGATAATAAGCATCGCTACAAAAATTAATTTCAAATAAAAATAATTTAAAACGATGTATTCTTTGCCATCGATGTTGAATATTACTTTCATATTATTAGTATTAGGTATCGGTAATAAAACAACCGCTGTAACGTCCAAGATACGGTTGCCGTCGAGGGCTCTTACTGTTATGAAACCAGCAAAAGGTCCTTCAGGTCCTTTGTCAGTTTGTTTTCTTCTAATGAATATTTTCGGAAACATTAAGGTGCAGTTGTTCGCCGTAGCAATAGAAGTAAGTTCATTGCTCACTGGTAGGTAGTCGGATTGACCTAAAATTGAAATAAAAGTAATATTTTCATTAATAAAACATTGGAAGGTTATTTCTTTCTTTATTTTGATTTTTAATAGATATTATGGGGTACGAGTACAAGGTGACAGGAGGCGAATCAATATACACTCGATGAGGTTCCGAGAAATTATTAAGTTTTTATAATTCAGTGCAGGAGCCATGGTGTTCCAAGTGATCTAGGAAGTATACTATTTCTATTAGGCACCCATTTCACAGAATTTTGTAAAAATATTAAAGAAAAACTTGCCTGTATCTTGTACAGAGTATCAAATCTTTCAATCAAATTATGGATGGGATACCATCTCTTTCTAAAGACTTTTGCAATTTAATATTGAGGACAAATAAATGGGCAAGATTATTTATATTTATCTACTGTTTATAGGATCAAAGGTCTCAGCCTATTTCCCTTTCTAATTCAGCTGGTCACTCCCACCTCTAACAATTTGTAAAATTTTCAAAGAATATCATCAATCTTCCATACGTACACCAAATTAGTACTTACTAGCGCCCCTCCTCTGGTCAGTACTAGTGGAAAAACTCATAAAAAGTCTAATATCTGCAAACTTCTACTACCTAGGGTATACCGATGACCTGGAGATCGTTATAAGAGGCAAGTTCGCAGGTACAATATCGGAGCTAACACTAAACCCTTACAAAACAGCAATAGTCAACTTAACAAAACTAAAAGTAGTGACAGGACTAAAGTCATCAGTACTGAAAGGAGTGAAGATTCCATTTGCTCAAGAGGCCAAATATTTGGAAGTCATCTTTAACCACGAGTTAACATGAAAACAACACTTGCCAAAAGTTACCCAAAAAACACAACATCCTTCAACTTATGTCGAGGTTGTGTGGAAAAAATTGGGGGCTACAACCGAAAATGTCCCTATGTAGTCCAATTAAATAACGAAAAAAAGCCCCTTCGAGCTTACATTAATTTGTAATTGGATAAAACAAAGTGGAGCTTATGTATTTTGATGTGATCTTACCGAAAAAAAGCAAAAAAAGATGTAGCTGTTGTTCAATTTTTTTTAAATTAGGAAAAACCGGGTTTGCCGGAATTTCCATGGTAAAAATGCTAATTATCTGGGCAAGTATCATTCCGATAGTAAAAATAAATGCACCAATCGAAAGAGGAGGCAAAAATAGTTCGGAAATTCATTGCACAGGTAGTTTTAATGGCGAATTTCTTGCCGCCAGAAGTGCTTTTACCAAAAAGTTGTTTTTTCGTTTCTTTGATCAGAACCATGGACATGAAATTTGCGATGAATTTGTGGCAAAATTATAAATGTTAGACATATGTGCCCATGAAAGAAGTTGCGTATTTTTTGTTGGCTCTCAAAATAAGTCCCGCGGCGAAATCTGCCATAATTTTACGGGAATTCGCAGGAAACCGGAAGGCTTGTTTTTTTTTAGTTTTTTTCCCATATTATTTTCTCCGGGTTTTCCGAAAACATCTAACAAAAAAATATATTTGCAAAAACTAACTTCGGCATTGAAAAGAGCACAAAAAGATACATAAAAAGGTATACTTTAAAAATGTTAGGAAATTAATCCTAAGCCTAAGTGTGAGTTCCAACTTGGTGATAAGCTTGTTTTTTGTTCTTTAACATCTGGTTCTTAGTTATTTACAAGAAAACTTGAAATGGGAGAAGATATATATGCATGACAAAAATACGTATTTTCTAGTTACGTTCCGAATGAGATGGGTTGGGTGGCGAAATCTGCAATACTTTTTGAAAAAAATTGCAAAACAATTTTTTCTTGATTTCTCGTACTTTTTTCTTAAATAACTCGAAAACTAATTATCTAAATAGAAAACTGTTTTCATCAGATGAAAGAGAAAAAAAAGACACGAAAAACTGCACATTCAGGAGACATGATATTTGGGTTTGCTTAATTTTCAGACCAAAAAATTGAAAATCGTCAATTTTAGGCAACTTTTCTCAAAAACCGTGTTTTTTGGTCGTCATTCAATGAACAGTGGTCAAAAAAATAGATAAAATATTTTTGCAGAATTTTCCGTAATGTATTCATATTCTAGACACAATAAAGTACTCAAAAAAAAGTTTTGAGCCATTGAGTGCATTTTTGGCATTTTTGTGCCACATCAAACAAAAAAAAAAAAAATTAGTTTTTCTTAGGGAAAAAAATTTGTTTAATTGTTTGATATCTTGGCCAATTATGATTCAATTCCGGTGAAATTCACACACACATAAGATTTTACATTCAAGAGTAAGCTCTGTAAGTGACATTAAAAAAATTTAAATAGTTTGGCCGTTATAGGCAAACAATGAAATTAGGCCCGCGGTACACTTTGCCCTTCCGCCATATACCCAATTTTGAGATTTTTCTTGCCACCCTTATGGGAATCAATAGTCACATCCCTTAAGTTCAGAACGCGTTTTTGTTTTTTCAAATACCTTAATTTATACCAAAGTTATGAAGAATTTAGTGTTTGAACATTTAACAAATTCAATTTTTCGACCTTCGCCGCCTCAAAATACTAAACAAATTTCAATCGTCCATATCGCGAGAACGGTGCATCGTATCAAAATTGCTCAGGAGACATGAAAATTAGCATTTTTTCTAAACTTTCAAATGTCGTAAACTGTATTTTGAAAATATTGATTTGTTTCCGACATGCGCCTGCGCAAAATTGAAAAATTGGACAAAATCCAAAATTTTGGCACTTTCGAAAAACAGCTACATTTTGTTTTGCCTTTTTTCGAAAAGATCACCTCAAAATACATAGAATCCATTTTGTTTCATCTAATTGCAATTTAATGTAAGCTCAAAACTCGTAATTTAATTCGATTAATGGTTATATACAAAAAGTCATAAGGGGGATGATAACCTACGGGTCGGTAGTATGGTTTCTAAAGACTCGGCAAGCTGGAGCCATTCGACAGCTCAATGGTATTCGAACGCAAGTATGCCTGAGTACCACGGGAGCCATGAGAGCGACTCCAAAAGCAGCTACAGAAGTCATGCTGAAACTAACACCAGTACATATATATTCATTCAAGGCGAAGCCAGGTCTGTCACATACAGACTGAACAAAGGTCCATCGCCCATAAGCAGTTTGTATGGATGTGACTACGGCGAGCTATATAAAGAGTTGGAGAACGACCAAATAATGGGAATATCTTCAGACGAAACGCTCCCAAAGTATAGCTTTCAAAAGCAATATAAAGTAAGTATACCAGACAGGGAAACATGGATGGGAAGACCGCATATTTATGCAGAGTTCACCTTGTATATCAGGCCTTGAAAACCCATGAAGATTAAGGAGTAGGTATATATATAGTACCAAACCAAATACAAGAATCTCACCGAGCTTAGGTAAACATACGACAGTATTAACAGGTATTAAGGCAGAAGAAAAATAAAAAAACCATTGTCATATAGTTAAACAGTCAAGCGACCTTAAAGGCACTCAGTTCTATGTAGGTACACTCAAAGCTTATGTGAGAATGTTTGAAAGTCCTCACAGAGCTGGTTAGTCAAAACAGACTAACGGGCAATGAAGAGGCTGATTTACTAGCCCGAGAGAGAGCCTCAAAGGCTCTTATTGGCCCAGAACCCTTATGTGGTGTCACAAAGACAACTATCAGAACATGCACAAAGCAGTGGATGTTAAAAAAATCTCAGAAATGATGGAAAAATTCACCAGGACAGAGGACAAAGGACCATCGCCCAAACTTAGCGAGCATCTACTAAGCCTTAATAGGAAAAATACTAGTAGGTCTCTTAGTAAGTTTTGAATTTTTTCCCTTTTTATTAACAGGTATGCAAACATACGTACGGTATAATATCGGTCTGACAGAAAAGACCTTGTGCCTATTCTGTCAGGAAGAGGAGAAAACTACAGAGCACGTATTGTGCTACTGTAAAGGTCTATCAAAACACTTGGTGAAGAAAAACCAAGGGCAACTAGCTACGCCGGAGAGCTGTTTCCTAGTCTATGGAGTCTACTACGCAAGACCGAATTAGACAAGGTACTCTAAATAGCGATTAAAGGATATCCATAATAGATCTGAAAATGTCGAGGTAGGGGAGGTCACATGGCCCGCAGTCCTAATTAAATCTAATCTATACACCAAACTAAAAAATGTACCAAAAAATACAGTATTGCCCGAAATAAACAGTACTGAAACTAAGTTGGCGGTGTCTCTTTAGGTCCGCTGTCATACCTAAGTTAGCTAGTATAGACCTGTCAAGTAAACCTTAAACAACTTATTAGTATGGCCTACTTGTTAAGAATGATGTTAGGTACAGAGAAGAAAGTGTTTCTGATAGAGTCTTATTTTCGCTCATACAAAATCGGCCGACAACGTAATGGTGAAAGTCTGCGATACATGTGTGATCAATTCTTCCCAAACTTAAAACATCGTTACGAAGTCTGACTTAAACGAGGGAGGTGCTCATTTGGAACATGTACTAAAATGTCAATAATATGTATTTCTTAAATAAATAAAAAAAATTACAAGTTTAGTACTGTTTATTTAGGGAAATAATGTATGTGTATAAAAATATGTATTATGTATTTGACGTTAACGATTATATGTACAAAAAAATATATATTCTGAAACTTACTGCTGTCCAATTCGAAGGTAGGATCAATAGTACCGCAGTTGTTTAATATAATTGGATTGTGCAATTCAAATGATATTCCGTCGATATTTGCAGTATAAAGTCTCTTTGTAAACGATGGTTTTTCTCCCATGAAGTTGTTTAAATAGTTTTTATCGAATACCTGTAAAATATCAAAATTCATGTAGTAACATTTCCTGGACTATATTGTATGTCCATTTTTGTCGAAAATGGATATGTACGGTTCTTTCGAGATTAAATATTATTCAATTCATTTCAATGTAGGGAAATCCCTAACTTTACACCGAAGGTAGCAAAACCGGATGACAAAAAATACTTGCATTTCATTGCCAGCAAAAAACGAGAAAATCCAACGATAAATAATACAGACTGAACATTATTTAAAAAAATGTTACAAACAATTGGCTTGTACAAAAGACAAACCAAAAATACTTAATTACAGCTTCCATACAGTCTTCAGAATTAGTTACGTGCATTGACATTCTGTGAAACGACCCTATAAACACTCGACGCAGCCCTAACGAATCACTTAAGCTCACTTTAAGCTCTTATTGTTATGCGAAGTAGTGATTTTGGATAAAAAAGAAAAATCGGGAAACTGGTTTTACTGTGGAAATTTTGCTCCATTCCATCCTTCCTCTCATTTTTATGTAACTTTACCTTCACGAACTGCAAACTCTTCAAAAACCAACTTTGTGTATGTGATTGGATTTTGGGACTGCGGATATTACATTTGTGTCAAGGGCGGTTTCTCCATTGGTTCATTTGTGCAGCGAACACCGAGTTAAATTTTATAAGTGCACATTATTTTAAAATCACTTATAAATAACTTAATATAAATTCACTTTAATATATTTATTATTTTCGTACGTATTTATCTCTACTTTTTTTGGTACCCCACTGCGCTCAGGCCAATCGCGTCTGTCGGTTCAATATATCCAGTAAACGCGAGAGGTGTCTGAGAATGAATGTTAAATAGATCCGTGAAACGGAAATATTATTTTCGATTCTTTTCGATTCGATTCTTTTCGATTCTTTTCGATTCTTTTCGATTCTTTTCGATTCTTTTCGATTCTTTTCGATTCTTTTCGATTCTTTTCGATTCTTTTCGATTCTTTTCGATTCTTTTCGATTCTTTTCGATTCTTTTCGATTCTTTTCGATTCTTTTCGATTCTTTTCGATTCTTTTCGATTCTTTTCGATTCTTTTCGATTCTTTTCGATTCTTTTCGATTCTTTTCGATTCTTTTCGATTCTTTTCGATTCTTTTCGATTCTTTTCGATTCTTTTCGATTCTTTTCGATTCTTTTCGATTCTTTTCGATTCTTTTCGATTCTTTTCGATTCTTTTCGATTCTTTTCGATTCTTTTCGATTCTTTTCGATTCTTTTCGATTCTTTTCGATTCTTTTCGATTCTTTTCGATTCTTTTCGATTCTTTTCGATTCTTTTCGATTCTTTTCGATTCTTTTCGATTCTTTTCGATTCTTTTCGATTCTTTTCGATTCTTTTCGATTCTTTTCGATTCTTTTCGATTATTTTCGATTCTTTTCGATTCTTTTCGATTCTTTTCGATTCTTTTCGATTCTTTTCGATTCTTTTCGATTCTTTTCGATTCTTTTCGATTCTTTTCGATTCTTTTCGATTCTTTTCGATTCTTTTCGATTCTTTTCGATTCTTTTCGATTCTTTTCGATTCTTTTCGATTCTTTTCGATTCTTTTCGATTCTTTTCGATTCTTTTCGATTCTTTTCGATTCTTTTCGATTCTTTTCGATTCTTTTCGATTCTTTTCGATTCTTTTCGATTCTTTTCGATTCTTTTCGATTCTTTTCGATTCTTTTCGATTCTTTTCGATTCTTTACGATTCTTTACGATTCTTTTCGATTCTTTTCGATTCTTTTAGATTCTTTTCGATTCTTTTCGATTCTTTTCGATTCTTTTCGATTCTTTTCGATTCTTTTCGATTCTTTTCGATTCTTTTCGATTCTTTTCGATTCTTTTCGATTCTTTTCGATTCTTTTTGATTCTTTTTGATTTTTTTTTATTCTTTTTGATTCTTTTCGATTCCTTTTTCTTATAGTGTGGTGTAGGTAGTATAAATAAAGTTTTAAGTAGTTCTACCAGGTGAAATGGGAACAAAACCCATTATTTTTATCTTGGATTTGCAAAGCCCGGGGTGGGTATAGTGGCTATTGTATAGCCAAGTAATTTAATCAAGAATTGCTTCACTAAAAGAGCACAATGCTTGTGTGAATTATAAAATTTTAATTTCAGATGAAATAAAAACGGTACCAATTAAAATATTTTTTCTACACCCACATGGATATTAATTAACTTATCTGCAAAAAAAATTTGCATGTTTAACCCCCTACCCTTACTTTTTACTTCCAGGGTGACTTCTGACTGCCGCCTCTTGCTATGTTGGTAACAATTGAAACTGTATATAACAAAATTTTGACTTTACCGAGTCAACCCTACTTTTGTGTTGTCAGCTCTTAGACTACTAGACTAGTAGACCCTCGTTAAAGCAGAGGGCCCTCGTCCAGACAGTGGGCTCTTGTTCAGGCAGTGGACCAACGTTGAGGCACTAGACTCTCGTGCTGCAAGTGGGCCCTCGGTTAATTAAATACAAGGAACCCCGTAATACGTGAGATAACCTTTTTTTTTTCTCTTCAATGAGAGATAACTTTTGTTTTTGCTGTTCATAGAGAGAGGACTTTTTTTGCTCATCAATGAAAATTGGACAATGAAAAGGGTGGGCCCTTCTCCCTCCTGACCGGTAGGCCCTAGATAGCTATTCACTAAGTCATGGGAGCGCTCCCATGGGAGTGCTCCCATATATTTTGCTCTCTTACTCTTAGATGGGTATATCGTGCTTACTCACTTTTAGCCCAGGTACATTCGTAGTAAGGTCAGATTTTATACCAAGCGAGGGAGAATTGCGGGCTTGCCAGATTTAGGTCCGTATTTATCACAAAGGAAATTTGAACTATTTAGGACCGATTTCACCGATGTGTTAAACGAAGTTTAAAATGACATTTTTACATTAACAATGTCACTTTAATCTCCGTTTAACACAACGGTGGAATCGGCTCTTAAATAGTGGATCAAAGTTATTCTGTCGACTTGGCAACGTTGGCATGGGAGTATGGTAGCATGGAAGTATGGGAGTGCTCCCATGAGTTAGAGAATAGGTATCCTGGTGGTCCCAATCTGACGCTGAACAGCGGCTTAATAATTTGGTCATCATATCGATAGAAATAGTCCAGGAGGCAGTGAAGTTTCGGGTATTTATTTTTCCAGTCAGCAAACACCGACTGAATTATTCGGTTTGTTATTCAAAGCAAAATTCATATATATTTAGAGGGGGTGAGGTTTACGATGAGTTGGGGCGGAAAATGCGTTCGACAGTACAAATATACTGCACTTTTTTATTCAGTAATAAAAATAATTCTATTAGTGAGAAAATATAGTGAAGTTAAGAAAACAAAAAATAATCTGGCTAATCTGTGAGTAAGGGTAATATGTCTGGCAGGTGAAAAATTAGAAAAAAATTATCAAAGCCTTATTTTCGCAGTCCTAAAAATTTGTCAGATGATAGTTTATATTATAATTACAGCTGCAAATATTGTCTGGCTAATACCCCCAAAGCCTTGCCAGACTCATCCAACGCTCGTCAGGCGCGCTAAATTCAGCATGTTTAATTATACAGGTGATTGTTGTCATCTCTACATGTTTTTACTTTTCATAATTTATGATAAGAAAAGTATTGGTTTTGGGCGAAATTTCACTATGGATAAAAACACTTTTCTCGATGTTTTGAGATCCCAGAAATCCAAAAAACATGGTTTAGTAAAATTTCTATTCGTCAATCGGTTTGTCATCAAAAAATATAATAAAAATACGAGAAAGTTGTATAGTTGATTTTTTGTAAAAAAAATTATTTCCCTACAAAATCGATCTCGTGACATTCTTTTACATTTCCCTTAGTTTTTGAGTTTTGAGTTTTGAGCAATAAAAAAAAGAATATGGCAATTTTTTTTTCCATTTAAACAAGAATATCTTCGGAAGTATACAAGATATGGGAGAACGACTAAGAATATTTGTTGTAGGGAATTTAATTCTCTACACAAAAGATCTTTCGACATTTTTGAATATCTCGTTTAATTTGTGAGATATAGTGAAAATAAAAAAATGCGAATTTTTCTTACATTTAGAGAGAACTAAAATTCCAACAAAGATAATAATGACGGATGAACAACCTGTAGACATTTCACTGAACCACGAGGAATATCACTTTCAGCTGCCTAAAAAATCAAAGTAAACAAATACACTGTAGTGAGTGTATAGAATACTGAATTCTTATTGGACAGATTGAAAAATATTGATTTACGAAATCATAAATTTTAATGAAAATAGCAGAAACATCGAACTTTAAAAAATACACGTGCAAAAATTAGAATAATGAAAAATAAAATTGTAATAATTTAAAAGTAATACTGAAACATAAAACTATGACATATGAACTTCTTCTTCACCATCGCTATCATTATTTTCGCAATACACGTTATGAGCTTCATCTTTCTCGTATCTATTATCAATATCATCGATGCCTTTTTCAACCTCCGAAACATCAGATTCAGGGTTGTTAACGTTGAAAAAATACAATTCTATCTCAAAGTAACGTAAAATTTCTGTAGCATTTTGAATGAAAACCTCTGTCGTCATCAACCATAGCAGGCAAATCTACATCACTGATTTTCAAATTGTGTTGTTTCCGAATAAATAACACTTTGGCACATTTTGATAACTTTAATGTTGTAAATTTTCTAATTGGTTTCGATGATTTTTTGCATATAACAAAAAAACTCGATGAAGACGCCATAAGATTTCCCTAATTTCATACACGTGTTACTGCCACAAATACTAGGATCACACTCAGTGGCGGCTCGTGGGGGTGTTCACAGTGACAGAATATAGGTATCAGTACAGATGTATAAAAAAACTTTCACAGCCGACGAAAGCCCAAAAAGTTGGCGACTCGCCGGAGATTGTCACCGGAATGTCATTTCACGCAAGTTTTCATGTTCTTTTATAGGGAAAAATTTGATATTCGTTCATTATTTTTTGAGTTTTAAGATGAA